GCTAACTGCTGCTCTCTGTCCCTTTCTCCTTGTTTCTGTTTGTGTGGACCTGAGGGTGCTGTCTCCTCCATGCCCTCTCAGCACGACCCTTTCTTCCTGTCCTTCCAGGACTTTTCTTATTCCTGGCACCTTAAGGTGCTCCAGACTCAAGCTCTATTTTCCTTCCCCCAGCCTAGAATCAACCACTGCTAAAGAGTTCTGGGTTCTTTATTCAAGACTGTACTTAGAATCCAAGATTTGGATATGCTCATTGATACTGGGGTGTCATTGCTTTTATGCCCCCCCATCGGACAGGGATAGAAATATATGTGTGTAAACCAACTGAGGTGTGTGCCTATGCACACACTCACACAGGTGGGTGTGCACACACACATGTGCCTGAATGCACATTTACAATCACAGATGCACACATCCACACACTCACACAGGTGGGTGTGCACACACACACGTGCCTGAATGCACATTTACAATCACAGAGGCACACATCCACACACTCACACAGGCAGGTGTGCACACACACACATACAGACACGTGCCTGAATGCACATTTACAATCACAGATGCACACATCCACACACTCACACAGGCAGGTGTGCTCACACACACATACAGACACGTGCCTGAATGCACATTTACAATCACAGATGCACACATCCACACACTCACAGAGGCAGGTGTGCACACACACACATACACACAGGTGCCTGCCTGCACATTCACACACAGATGTACACGTCCACACTCAAACACAGGTGGGTGTGCACATACACACACGTCCACAGACTCACAGAGAAACATATACATCAACACTGAACCCTGTATTTCTGGATTTCTCTAAGTGATCATATACAAGGCTAAGTAGACAGTATTGCTGTGAATCCTAGAAACTTGATTAAACAGACTTACCCAGGTGTCTATGCCCCTCTGAAGGTGGTGCTTCCATCTCTGTAAGCCTTTCCTGCAGAATTCTGCATTTTAAAATTTACACCACACTGAAATGCTCATTTGGCATTACTAAGCAACCCCCGTTGTGCTCCTTTTAAATGCTCTTTGCGGTTTTGGAAACCAAAAGCAGTTTGAAGGGGCAGGATCAGGGCTGAAGGGTGGATGACGTGAGGTCTCTAAGGACTCCTCCTAGGACAGCCCTTACTGCCCTAAACGAAGGCTCCGATGCACTATTGTGTTGGAACAAAAATTCCTTGGCCTTTTTCTCAACAGTGCAGTTTTCAATTTTCGGAGCAATTCCTCATAATGAGCCCTGTGCTCACGCTGTGAGTCTGCTCCAGTACCCCCTTTTCTGCCCTCCCTGCCAGTGCTGATTTATTAATGTCTCTGTCAGGCAGTGAGAAGTTTGGTTCCCAGTGTGTGTGGGATGGTCTTGTCTGTTCCGCCCTCGGGTATGTGGGGAGTAGGTGTAGACTGGCTCCCTGACACCCATGAGAAGCCGGTCTGCCATGAGGAAGGGTGTGCGCTTCTCCTCCAAGCCTGCTCAGCTCACCTTGGTTCTCACGGTCCTCCCTGTGGCATCACTTGCCACAGCCTCGTGTCTTTCAGGACTCTCCACATCCATACTGAGGTTTCCTTTCAAATACATGTGCAGTAAAATTCACTCTTGTCAGACATGCTCACATACTGTCCCCTCACCTCAGGCCCCCCAACCTCGCCAAGCTGTACCCATGACAACGACATCAGACAGGACCGTCTCCTATCCAGGTCCCCACGCTGCTCCCAGCCCCTTGGTGCCTTGGGGTTTGCCATTTCTAGAGAGTTGTGTAAGTGGAGATGTTCTGTGTGTTCTCATCCAGTTAGCCACATGCATCAGACTCCTCATCCCTGTTTCTGTGTCTAATAGGAGGCTCAGTAACTCTCCATTTGTACAGTTTCATGTGGAGGTGCTCCCGGGCCTGCTGTCTCCTTGACCAGGACTCCACGTCTCTTGTAGTCCCTGCATCTTCCCAGGGAGCACACAGCTGGCCAGTAACACAGACGGCCTGCAGAGATGGAGTGCTGTCCACCGCGCAGTGGGCAGGTGGCAGACGGAGGTGCTGGTCAGTGGTCCTGCTTGTAGGGACTGCTAACTTGCTTTTGAGGCATCTTGCGTTTGGTGAAGTAGGTCAGCAGTTCAAATCCACTAGGTGTTTCTCGAGAGAAAGAGGTTTCCTGCTCCCGTAAAGATCCACAGCCTCGGAAACCCTACACAGGGTTTAGGATCAAGTTGGAGTCGACTTGATGGCCCTGGGGTTGGCCTTTGGTTGGCTGTGTCTGAAATGCCGTTTTTCTGAACTATTTTCTCTGTAGAGTGGTGTGAGATACGAATCCTTGAGTCCTGCTTAAAAGCACACTTGTATGCGCCTCCCTCCCCAGCCTTAGGTCTCTGTGGAAGCAGCAGGACCCAGAGAGCACTCTGGTGTGCTAACAGCAGCTAAACCGCATGACCTCATGGAAACAGAGTTTTGAGTAAAGCTGCTGGCGAGGGCTGTGAGCACAGGCATCACTTTCTGGAAAATTCATGGGCCGGCTGTGTCCCCTGAAGGTGTTTACACGGCAGCTAATAGCTGGTTCCACACTTGATGAGGCCGTTTTCTTGTCATAATTACCAGTTATGAGTCTCTGAGATTCCCGACCCCCATCACAGGATGGGTGCTGGAGGACATCAGGGCCTTGTGGCTCACATCTGCTCAAACCTTCACCCCATGCTGCTACTGCCCTCTGAAGGTTGCGTTCTCATCCACGGGACATCCGGGCTGGGCTCTGTATTTTGTGGGTCCTCCCAGCAGATCCAGTGCGTGATGCCCCTGAGGTTACCTCCTGTCTCCTCACTGGGGCACCGTTGGTGCATCCACTCTCATGGGCCAGATGCCGGGCCCTAACTATGCTTGAGGGGGGAGGACCCTAGGGAGGGGGCTAACACCTGGAGGGTCAGTACATTGGTGGCCCAGTGTCTGTGGGAATTGACACCTGGGGTGATCATTGCTGTAGGGCCTGATGCCCGGCGAGTGGGGCCCTCTGGGAGCGCTGGAGGAGCAGGAGAGTGAGCTGGTGATGAGACTCCCACGGCCTGCTGGTCTGGGAGTTGTTCTTAGCTGACCGTTCCTCTTTTCACAGTGCACTGGTGATTGCCACGGTGTTTGACCGCGACGTGAACTGCAGAAGAGCCGCCTCGGTAAGCTCTTGTTTTGTTTCTTTTTGTGAGGATGAGCCTCTGCTCACTCAACAGCTGTGACACCCACTACCCCATGCCACCCCCTACCCCATGCCACCCCCTGCTGTCTCCATTGCTGCTGGAAACCGGAGGACATGGAGGGACAGTGTAGGTGGACATTGGAGGGTGTGCGGCAGAGGCCTCTTGGTGCTGGTGAGTGTCCTGCTCTGAGGTGGCCTTTGGACTCGGAGGATGGGTCAGCACCAGGTGCCTGTCCAGGGAAACAGGCACAGTGGCTGTCTTTAGGAATGATGGGGGAGCTGCTTCTGTGAGTGAGAGCTGGCTCTCCGGCAGTGTGGTTAGCATCTCAGAGGCATGTCACCAAGCACAGTGTGCTTGACCCTGGCTGTGCTGGGATGTCCTGCACAGCCACCAGTGGGAGCTGTGTTTCCAACATGGATGTTGTCGCAGACGGCTCTGTAGAGATCCCAGTCTAAGAGAGCTGGTGGTGGTGGTAAGTGCTGTTGAGTCGGTTCCGATGCATAGTGACTCTGTATAGGCTTTCCAAGGAGCGGCTGGTGGGTTGGAACAGCCGACTTTGCAGTTTAAACTGAACTTACGGCCCAGTGCTTACCATTTATCACCACATCAGGACTTCATATATAAACATATACGCATGTATATGCACGTATACACATATATGTTGTTGTTAAGTGCTGTTGAGTCAATTCCGACTCCCAGCAACCCAGTATAGGAGTGACTGGTGAGTTTGAACCGCCTGCTTTGTGATTCAAACTAACTTTGCAGTCCAGGACTCTCTCGCTCTCTTTATGTATATGTTGTTGTTATATGCCATTGAGTTGATTCCCACCCATTCAACGCCGTATAGGATTTCCAAGAAAGCAGCTGGTGGGTTTGAACCACTGACCTCACAGCTCAAACTGACTTTGCAGCCTAGCACATTTACAACATGTATATATATATGAAATCCTGGTGTGGTGCTGTGGGATACTGCTTTGTTCTGAGTGTCCTGGTCCGGGGTGGCCTTTGGTCATTGTACCGTGGTAGAAGAATTGGTCGACATTTAACCGTTTTAGGAGTTAGCATAAAGAGCACAGCCTTGGGTATGGACTGCATCTCAATGTAAAGAAAACAAAAATCCTCACCACTGGACCAATACGTAACATCTATATAAATGGAGAAACAATTAAAGTTGTCAAAGACTTCGTTTTGTTTGGATCAACCATTAACACTCATGGAAGCAGCCACCAATAAATCACGATGTATTGCATTAGGCAAATCTGTTGTACAAGACCTTTTTAAAGTGTTGAAGAGCAAAGATGTCAACTTGAAGATGAAGGTGCACCTGACCCAAGCCATGGTATTTTCAATAACCTCATATGCATGCAAAAGCTGGACAGTGAATAAGGAAGATTGTAGAAGAATCGATGCATTTGAGTTATGGTGTTGGAGGAGAATATTGAAAGCACCATGGCCTGCCAAAAGAACCAACAGATCTGTGTTGGAAGAAGTGCAGCCAGAGTGCTCCTTGGAAGCCAGGGTGGCTAAACTTTGTCTGTCATATTTCGGACAAGTTATCAGGAGGGACCAGTCAAAGGAGAAGGATATCATGTTTGGTAAACTGGAGGGTTGGAAAAAGAGAGGAAGACCCCCAGCTAGATGGATTGGCATAGTGATGGCAGCAATTGGCTCAGGTGTAGCACTGATTGTGAGGTTGGCCCAGAACCAGGCAGTGTTTTGTTCTGTTGTGTATAGGGTTGCCATGAGTCGGTACCAACTCGATGGCACCTAACAACAACATTTAATGAAGGACCAGTGGTACTGAAAGGAGAAGGCCAAGCTGCACTGAATGCATTGGTGAAAAACAAAGCTCCAGGAATTTATAGAACACTAATTGAGATGTTTCAACAAACCAATGAAGCGCTGAAGGTGCGCACTCATCGATGCCGAGAAATTTAGAAAATAGTTACTTGGCCAACCAACTGAAAGAGATCTATGTTTGTTCCAAAGAAAGGTGATTAATATCACATGCAAGTAAAATTTTGCTGAAGATCATTAAAAACAGTTGCAGCAGTACTGTTTCACAGGGAACGGCCAGAAATTCAATCAGGGTTTAGAAAAGAACATGGAGTGGAGGGTATCATTGCTGAGGCCAGATGGGGCTTGGCTGAATGCAGAGAATAGCAAAGATGTTTTCCTGTATATATTGACTACTCAAAGGCATTCTACTATAAGATTCATTACAAATTATGGATACCGTTGTGAAGAATGGGAATTCAGAGCACTTAATTGTACTCATGCAGAACCTGTACATAGCCCAAGAGGCGGTGGTTGGAACAGAAACAAAGGGTTATTGACTGGTTTAAAATCAGGAAAGGCATGCATCGGGGTTGTATACTTTCACCATATTAATTCAATTTGTATGCGGAGCAAATAACTTGAGAGGTTGTACGTGAAGAACACAGCAACAGAATTGGAGGAATATTCATTAATAACCTGCGATATGCAGATGACACAACCTGTTTTCTAAAAGCGAAGAGGACTTGAAACACTTACTGATGAAGATCAATGATTACAGCCTTCAGTATGAAAAGATGATGAGATCCTGTTTGGAGAAAATCACAGGGAACACACACAACAACCAGAGCTGATCAAACAAGTTCACAAGATCGATCACAGGACTTACACTTCAGTGTAAAGAAAACTGTAATCTTCACAACAGAACCAATGAATAATATTATGATAAACAGATAAAAGATTGAAGTTGTCAAGGATTTCATTATACTTAGATCCACAACCAACATCCATGGAAGCAACAGTCAAGTGATCAAACCACATATTGCATCTGGCAAATCTGTAGCAAAAGACCTCTTTTAAAGTATGAAGAGCGAAGATGTCAGTTTGAGGATTAAAGTGTGCCTGACCCAAGCCATCATATTTTCAGTCACCTCATATGCATTTGAAAGTTGGACAATGAATAAAGACGGCTGAAGAAAAATATTGATGCCTTTGAATTATGGTATTGGTGAAGAAAATTGAATATATTGAGGGGATTTTTTAAAGTTTGTGGAAAATGGAATGGAAAGATACTGAAATTTCTCCATAAATTTTCTGATCCCCCCTTTTACCATGGACTACCAGAAGAAATCTGTCTTGGAGGAAGTACAGCTAGAATACTCCTTGGAAGGGAAGATAGCAGGACTTGGTCTTACAGACTTTGGTCGTATTATTAGCAGGGACCATTCCCTGGAGAAAGACATCATTTTACATATCTATATAAATTTTTATTGTGACTTGAGTGATAGTTTACATGGGAGAGCATCAGCTTTACATTCCTTATTTCGTATTTTGGTTCATTGCAATGATTTCAGTCCCCTCCATGCATCATCATTCAACAGCGTTTGCTTCCAATCCCTCTGGTTTTTTTTTTTTGTTTTTTTTTTATGTACACTGAAGTTCTCAGGAATATATAACCATTCAGACAATCTGCATGCCAGCCCCCTGGCCACCAGCACATAGCCCTTCTCCCTCCTTGAGTCTAGAGTCCCCAGCTGCTCCATCTTTCCATGTCATCATCTCTGCCTCCATCTTGGCGTCGCTGTTCTCTGGATAGGGTCTCTTCACTCTGCTCTTCTCCCTTGATGGTCCCAGGGTCCTCCGCTCCTAGACTGCAAGATCAACCACTCCCTTCCCTTTGTTACAAAACATCTACCTTTACATTTGCAACATTCACAATCAGTCCTGATAGCAGTTACTCACTATTGAACCACAAGAGTCTTATCCCCATCTCCTTTCACCAACTCCATCTAGACAGGTTGGAAACCACTCAGTGGAGATTCTGCCTTCCCCTCCCCCTCTGAAATTAAGCTCCCTCTTGAAAACTTGTAAACCAGTCACTTCGTGCCTTTGTAGCACCCCCTGATTTTGGGTAGCTAATGTCTTAAGTTGCCCATCCCTGTCAACCCTGTGTACAGAGGGTATGGGAATGATCCTCACTGTAAAGATTTGATCCCTCTTTTAAGCTACTACATCCATAAGTATAGGTCAAGTTCATCAAATTGTAGCAGATTACACTCTTTTTCCTCTTCTTTCTTCTTCTAGTCGAGTTCTGATCATCCAGCCATTGGAGCTAAGTCAAATGGGTACTATCTGCAAGTATGGGAGTTCTTGTGCAGCTCCCCTCCCTTCATATCAGCTGGACGCTTCACTGTCCGCTCTAATCCTCTGTGGCTATGTCCCTGTTCGTGGGCCCAGGAGCCCCAGGTCTCCCCATACTGCTGGCCACCCAGGTCTCAATCCAGGTTCACAGGAGTCTATTGAACGTGTTCGGACTTAGCTCACAACTTCATTGCTGTTTTTCCCCCCACTTCCCCTAATCAGTAGATCAACGTGGTCACCAGCAAGATTACATGCCTGCTCGTGTATTCACTTTGAGTTTCAGTCTTGGAAGGGGGTTTGCCAGAAGGATATTCTTGATAAAGTAAAGCATCATTGAAAAAGAGGAAGACCCTCAATGAGGTGGATTGATGCAGTGGCTGCAAAAATGGACTCAAGAATGGAAATGATTTTGAGGAAGTGTTTTCATTATGTTGACATACGTGGGTCATGGTGAGTTGGAACCCACTTGACAGTAACAGAAATGTATATATATTGCATTTCTTTTGTTAAATTTATGCATAAGACTCAACAAAGAAGGAATTGAAGGGAAATTCCTCAATATAGTTAAGAGCACATATACAAACCAACAGCCAATATCACTCTCAACGGTGAGAAACTGAAAGCTTTCCCTTTGCGAACAGGAACAAAACAAGGGTGCCCTTTATCACCACTCCTATTCAATATTGTGTTGGAACTTAGCTAGAGCTGTATGGCAAGAAAGGGAGATTAAAGGGATCCAAATTGACAAAGAAGTAGCGAAACTATTTGCAGACGATACGATCCTATACATAGAAAATCCCAAAGACTCAGCAAAAAAAAACTAGTGGAACTCACTGCAAGTTCAGCAAAGTGGCAGGGTACAAAATTTATCCCTAAGTATTCTTTTTAATGCTATTGTGAACAAAACTGTATCCTTAATTTTATTTTTTAAATGTAGCATATAAAAATTGAACTGGAGTTTATACTGTTCCTGTGTCCTGTGATCGATCTTGTGAACTTGTTTGATCAGCTCTGGTTGTTGTGTGTGTTCCCTGTGATTTTCTCCATACAGGATCTCATCATCTTTTCATTCTGAATGCCTTTTTCTTGCCTAGTTGCTCTGGCTAGACTCTTCAGTACACATTGAGTAGAGGAGGTGAGGGGTGTTCATGTCTTGGCCTCAGTGTCAGGGGAGACATCCAGTCTTTCCCCCATTAGTATGATGTTAGGTTGATGAAGTTTCCTTCTGCTGGTACTGTGTTGAGAGCTTTTTATCATGAATCATATAGGATTTTATGAGATGCTTTCTCGGCTTCTATGGAGATGGATGTATAGTTTTTGTCATTTTTTCTATTGATGCACTATATTAATTTTGGTTATCAATTCCTAAGCCTTGATCTTGATGGATAGCCTGCTCACCTGTGTCTGATTCACCTGCCAATATTTTCTTGAGGATCTTTGAGTCTGTATGTCTGAGGGACATTGGTCTGTACTTTCCCTGACTCTGATGGCTTCATAGAGTGAGTTGGACAGTAGCCTCTTCTTGTCTGTTTTCTAGAAGAGTTTGAAAAGGTTGACATTGTTTTTACTGTAAGTGTTGGCTAGACCTCACCACTGAGCCCCTCTTGATGGGAGTTGTCACGATTCAGGTTCTTTTTGCAGTATAGTCTCAATGTTTCCTCTGTTTCTCCAGTCAAGGAATTTCTCCTTTTCATCTGAGTTGTCACGTTGTGTTGGGAGGGCGTTGGTGGCTCTGATGTTCTCTCACATCACAGATGGAGTTTCTGGTGGTTTCTCTGTAGGCTCCCTCTGTGGTCCCACGGGCATCTCCCTTGTTGCTGCTCAGTAGCCTCAGAGGCCAAACAGTGTCCAGAGTTAGTTGTGAATGAATGAATGAGAGATTAGGATCCGGGCTTACTTGCACCTGCAGTTAATTTTGTGTCCTCTGGTTGATGGGATGAAGAATGAAGGAGCCCAACCATGAAATAGCCCAGGTCTTCCCAGTTCAGAAATTCTAGGGTCTTCTCCAGTGTCTAATCACCTCCACTGCTGTTTATACCTAGAAGTAATCAACGTCTAAGTCTGAAGCCATCTCAGATCCTTGGGAACTTACTAGTGCTGAGAGAGCTTGCCAGAGTTCCCAGGAGCCCCTCTGTGCCCTGCAGCTGTTCTTTTGTCTTCGCATTCTGCGTTGGCCCTGCTGCTTATCCATAGGCAGGAGCGGTGAGACTGATTCAATCAGTACTCCGGCTGTAATGCGTTTGTTCCTTTTTGTGCACTGTAAGGAAAGACATTCTCCTAAGAAACAGTAATAAAACCAGAACGCTTTTATGCCTTTTACAAGCCCTGGGGATGAGGTGACTTTTTTTTCTTTTATTTCACAAATTCACCGACACTTACCACAATGAATGGGAAAACCAGTTTCAGTTCGGTTACACACCCTCAAATTCTCAGGAGCCAAGTCTAATACCCTCCTCGGCTCACAGGCGCACTTATGGACAGTGATGAACAATGCCCATGAGGTACCCAGGGGCTGTGGCAAGCACTGCTGCTGTGGAGACAGTGGGCTCCCTGGTTGTGTCCATGTTTACTATTAGTCTGAGATGTGGGAAGCAATTTGGAGGTCGGCCCACTCCGCCTTTCATTGCCTTTACCAGAGAAGCAGCCTCATGCACGGGGCATTTTGTTCCCAAGTAGTGGTTGTTTTGCTGGTTCATTGACCTTCATGTGTGTTAACTGTGCAGCATCCCAGTGGACTTCATGGTGCTAATGGACAGTACCTCTCACGAGCCCTTTACCCCTGAGTTGCTGGCAGCCTGCCAGGTGTGCGTGGCGGGTGTGCGTGTGCGTGGGCGCGGCTGGGTGGGACTGTCGCAGAGTTCCCTGTTGTGTGTCACTCATCTAAGTGTGTGTTGTCCGCTGGTAGCACAGTGCCTTGCTGACTGGAGCAGTGAAGTAAGCCTTAATATTTCCTTCCATATTCTTCTTCTTTTTCAAGGTTATTTGATTTAGTTGAGGGCTAGCACGTTTCCATATAAATCCTGTATTATTTTTACCTCCTAGGTATGTTACAAGAAAAGCAAATGTGTTTCTAAATATGTGATTTAAATAAACATACCTGTCGTGTGTTGCCTTTGTTTCTGATTTTCTTTCATGGATTTAGTGGAGTGTGGCCCAGCACATAGCAAACATGAGCCTCCCTTCCAGCCTGGCTTGCAGGCTCCACTTTAAAAGCCACTCTCCCATGTCCCACGCCAGTCACCCAGCCCTGCCCCAGAGACAGCTGGCGCTTCTGGTTTTCTGTGTAACCTGCCGGGATGTCGGCCCACTCAGACCCGCGTCTAGACACAGCGTGGGGTGAGAGCAGACTCTGGGTCTCAGTGCTGCTCCCCTTCCTGTCGTCCCCCATGACCTGGCGCTAGGGGTTGTGGGGGCCTCAGGTGCTCTCAGGAAGCTGCTGCCCACACTCACCTGTCCACCTGCCCATGGGCACAGTCAGCAGCTCTGCCAGGTTGGCCTCCGCCCAGCTCTGGCCGAGTTTCCAGTGGGAGGAGACTTCTCTGTTGGCCTTTGTCCGCTGTGGCCTCTGAAATCCCTGTTTGCAGCCCTGGCTCCTTGGCGCCCGCCTTTAGCCCCTCACACGTGCGGGCCCACGGCTGCTCTGACTGTGTGTGCAGCCCAGTCGTGGGTCTGCTGTGTACTCATGCGGTGTCAGATGGTCCCCATCTGTTTGGGGTGCATCACTCTCAGGGGGCTTGGGCTGGGAGGCCATCAGATTGGTAAACAGGAAGTGGGTGTTGTCCGCACTGACATAGGCCTGTCATTGCCAGTCCTCTCTGACCTGTGGTCACACCCACGCAGGGAACTATGTCATCATGGAGAAAGAGCAGCTCTGTAATGAGCATCCTGTCACCTGGTGGCCTGTCACACCCTGCCCTGTGCATGGCCTGGGGCCCAGGCCTGCCCGAGGACTGTTGGTACCAGTACTGCTGTTGTCGACACCAGCAGCATTCCTCCTTGGGGGCAGTGTTCACCATAAAGTCCCCAAGGAAAGGTCTTTGTCATTTGCGACTTCTCATTTATTAGCTATTTCTGGCTCTGTTTTGGTTTTTACGCTCCAGGATCCTAAGTTGGGGTGTTTATTTGAGGCTCAGTGCTCACCACCCAGACCGCTCTGAGGAAACATCTGACTGGGCCTGAGCTCCATGCCGCATGTCAGCGCTCTAGAGCCGTCTCCATGCCGCATGTCAGCGCTCTAGAGCCGTCTCCATGCCGCATGTCAGCACTCTAGAGCCGTCTCCATGCCGCATGTCAGCGCTCTAGAACCGTCTCCATGCCGCATGACAGCGCTCTAGA